TTTAAATGCAGCCTAAATTTAGACTCTTATAATGTAGTATACAAGAGAAACAACTTTGACATATAATGGAATAGATACTAATTTCTTTATTGAGACTGACAAATCTGCAAGGTAGATTTACTGATTTTAAATCTTGGCTAGTGAAGCTAATATCACCAGTAATACCAAAGCACAAATTTTGCCAAAATACATACAAAATGAATTATAAATCAGTCATTTCTTGACCTTTAAAGATAAAATTTGCTAAAGCAGTTGCCTAAACCTCAAACAGATGCTAAACACATCTTAAGGACATGCACCCGAACTGTTTGCAAAAAAAAAATCGCACAGGACGAGTTTTGCACAGCTGGCAATCCTCTCATAGTTTCTCCAGGAACTATTCTAGTTCAACTTTACTAGCCAAGTTCAAAAGAAAACATGTTATTTGACAAATTAGATAAAATGATGTGCTTTATGACAAGGTTCTCAAATATAAAGATGTTTTCTTTGAATTTTTGTATTTGAAGGAAACATGTCACAGGCCCTTTAAGGTGGTACTCTTCTCCAAAACTGTTTATCACCCAAACGTAAAAGCTAAAGACAATCTGGCTCGATCAGCAATTTAATGTAGAAATATGAGACACGTTTCCTTCTCGGCGAAATGTTCATCAGAAAATCATATTTGAAGAGAAATGAGAATCATGTCATACAAAAACAAACAAAAAAGTAATAGCTGAAACTTTACTATGACATCATCTCATTTACAAACTTCTGAACTGTAAAGTAAAACAAAACAACATCGTCTAATTTTCTGTTTAAAAGAAAGGAAAACTGCCTTGACTTTCWGTAATTGGACCTATTTTCACTGTGGAGACACTTGAGGTCAGACATGCTGACACTGTATCTGATTATTGAGCAGGAAAGCAGGGATTAGACAGTCCGCAGAGCATTTCAGAGTCTAAACATAGGCAGCTCGGATAAAAACTGCTCTGACGGATCTTTATCCTGCTTTACCCGAAACCTCAATGTTATTGTGTTCTTTCATTGCTGCAGAGGAGCAGCTGAAAACGCAGCATCCTTCTGCATTCACGCCTCGATCAGTCAGTGTTTAGAGCACGCAGTCTGAATCCTCACATGAGCCACTGCTCCTTCTCTTTATTGAACTGCTCGGCCCAATGGCGTGTCAGTTCCAGGTAGTGATCGGGTCCGTGTGGCTGATAGTCTAAATAAACACGAGTGGCTGTTTTTTTGGGCGTGGCCCTCTCTATCTGCGTCCCTTCGTGCCACTCGTTAAACGATGTTATGGTGATCACCTCTGGGCGCACGTTAAGAGCCGCCTGCAGGGCCGTCTCGTAGTACCTGCCGTTCACTCGGTTTCGGGTGTTGTGGTTGTTCCACGGTCGGATGCTGGTGTCGATGTAACCCGGTCCCACGCTGGGGATGAAAAGGAGGTTGTTCCCGTCGCAAAAAGCCTTGATGGCCTTCCAGTTCTGGTGAGAGGAGCCGAAGGAGAAGCCGTTGGAGGCGAAATAGGTGTACATGCCGTCAAAGCCACCTGCGAGGATGTCGTGCTTGTGACGCTCCTCCACGATCAGAGCGATGAAAACCGAGTCGTAGGCAGAGTCACGCACGCTGTGGGATCCAGTGGGAGTTAAAAACTCCGACCAGGACTCAGGTGGAGTCAGGTAGGAGTCATAGATGTAGAACAGAGGAAGACTCTTTCCTGTGCTGGAAGTAAATTTGTAGAAGGCCCCATGGTCGCCGTACCTTTAAAGATATCAAGACACAGTGAACAAAGACACCTGTTACTGCTGAGTCATTTAACTGATTAATGTTTGATAAATGTAATCATAAATGTCACGACTTGGTGGTGAGGAGAACCCAAAATGCAGGCAGGCAGGCAGACCAAACTTAAAGTAATTAAAAAGACTTTAATAAACAAAAAAGGCCAACGTGGTGGCAAGCTAACAAAACAAAGAAACAAAACAAAACTTGGAGCATGAGCATGAGCATGAGCATGAGCATGAGCATGAGCATGAGCATGAGTAAGTAAATGAACAGACACTGAAG